CTGAACAGAACAAACTACGAAGGGTGCTCACCTTAGACCCGTCATCATCGGGTCCCACTTTGCTGTTACGTTTCTTCTTCCGGGGCCTTAAGGAGTAGTCCAAATCACCATTGGGAGAGTCTTGAAGAACTTGAATCGGGGAAACTACAACAAGGGCTTGATCATCAATGGCAGCATCCAAAGCTTCCCTACTGCTTGCAATTTCTAGCCCAACGCCTGAAAGTGTGTCTGACTGCTGTTGCTCATCCAAACAAAGTTGCCCAGTAGCTTGAAGGGTGCTTGGCCTTTCAATATTACACAAAAAAGAATTTTCGGCGCAAAAATCAGCACCTAAGGCGCCCAAATCAGCACCTCGAATGAGAATCGGATCAGCCCGTGCTCCCAGGCCACTGTCTAGCTCTCCCTGACAAACCTTGGACTGATTTTCAGCGCCCCCCGATGGAAAAATGCTGCTGCCCAGCGTTCCAAAGCTGCCCAGCGCAGCAGATCTGAAGCTGTCCGGGACAGCAGAAGCAGCAGCTAGGCTGCTGCCCAGCGCACCTGGGCTGTCCAGGACAGCAAGCCCAGCGCCCCTGGGCTGTCCAAGACAGGAGGAGCAGCCCCTAGGCAGCTGCCCAGGCCCCCAGCGCGCGCAGAACAGCCGCCCAGGCCCCCCGCGCGCGCGCGCGCGCGTCGCCCAGCTGCGCGCCCCGCGCGCGCGCGCGCGCCGCCCAGCTGCGCGCCTACGCTGCGCAGCCGCGTGCCAGCGCTGCCCAGCCGCGCGCCCAGTGCTGCCCAGCCGCGCGCCCAGCGCGCCTTCGCCCCTCCTCGCCTCCTCTTCGCTACCCAGCCTTTCAATTTCAGATCCACAACTTTCTTCAACCTCCACCAATCCCTCTTCAATCGACATTGTTCACTTGAGAAGCTCAACTAGCAAGGAAGAAATCACACTCTTGGAAGGATTGAAGGAGAACACACACTTTGGCTTTAACAAAATGGGTAGGACTTGAGTTCTCAAAATCTTCAAGAGGTGGGTGCTCAACCTTAAAAATAAGTGAAGTGGTAATTTGAAGAAGAAGACTATATTTATAGTCTAGGATTTTTCAAAAAGAGGAAAAAAGCCCAAATAGACTAATATGGGCCCTCTTCAAAATAAAGTAGGCAAATAGAAAATTATGGGCCCTCTTCAAAACAAAGTGGCCAAAAAGAAAGTCATAAGCCATTTTTTCAAAACCAAAAGGCCAAACAAAATATTATAGGCCTTCTTTAAAATAAAATGGAAGAAACCTAAAAAAAAAAAAAAGAAATCAATGCCTCCTTCTCCAAGTCTCCTTGGACATGGGGCATTGGGGGGCAAATGATGGGTTAAGCCCAAGTAGTCCAATTTATGTATTAAAGCCCAATCCCGGTTGAGGAGCCCAACCTCATCGTGAACCCACCAAGCCTTAGGGAGCCCAAGGACGGTTGGACTTCTTGCTTAGCACGTCACCAAGAGGAGAGCACGGTTGGACTTCTTGCTTAGCACGTCACCAAGAGGAGAGCACGGGAAGTTTATCTACACTGCCTTAGGGAGCTCAAGGCCGGTTGGACTTCTTGCTTAGCACGTCACCAAGAGGAGAGCACGGTTGGACTTCTTGCTTAGCACGTCACCAAGAGGAGAGCACGGGAAGTTTATCTACACCGCCTTAGGGAGCCCAAGGCCAGTTGGACTTCTTGCTTAGCACGTCACCAAGAGGACAGCACGGTTGGACTTCTTGCTTAGCACGTCACCAAGAAGAGAGCACGAGAAGCTTATCAACGGTCCAATCTTTGACCACGTTTCCTTCAAGAGTTCCCCAAACTCTTCCTTCCGTTGAGGATAAGTCGTGATCTCCACCGAAGATAATCTCTAAGCTGCGATAAAGAAGCCTTGAGGATATGTTATGATCTCCACAAGAATGATCTCTTATCTACTATAAAATGGCTCTAATCTGAGAGAGAAAGGGACACATGCTCCATCAGAGACTTTCAGAAGACGAACCGACTACCGGAGATTATTGTTTTTCTTTGATTCTCCATTCCCCCTCTCAAAGCTTGTATCTCCGTTCTCCATACCTTTGAATCAATAAAATACCCGGCGACTGAAGCCATTGAAGAGTGGACGTAGGTCGAATTGACCGAACCACTATAAATTGTGTCTTCTTTAATTTTCTCGTTGATTTCATTGCATTTATTATCTATACTTGACAGGTGGTGTACAAAACTATTTTTGTGCATCATCATGTACAATCCCTTAAACCTATAAATATGATAGACCATGTATCACCCAAGTAAGGAATACACTCAGCAACCCAAATACAGCTTCCTACCATTACACCTTCTGACTCTATAATTGGAAGGTCAACTGCCGAAGCCCCTCTGGCCCTCGACTTCGTTTCATAGGAGCATTGATTGCTGGCAACCAGATCATCGTTCTAGGTGGCCAGATGATCATTTCCTCCATCATCAATAGAGAACACAATTTTGAATCAACAACCATGATAAATATGAAGTCCTGATGATAAAGTATCAAATAAAAAGACACGTGAGATTAGTTACTCATCTTTAAAATCAAAGTCTACAGCCAGGGACGATGGCAAGGGGAGGTATGGAAGAAGTAGGATAAAATTATTAATAAGATATAGTAATCCAATACAAAATTAGTACAAACTTATAATAACATAACATGAATCATCTAATGACTCGAATTGAATACAATGACAATGAGTTTAGTTCATAATCGAATTGAATAATCAGGCCTGTTTTGACACTAGCATGAATATAATGACATAAATCTAATTATATGTGACTGATGCACAATATGACTATGATTATATATGACTTTATTAAGTCGGGTTTATATTAATTAAATTTTGACATGACATAACTTGATGCTAAACTAGCGACACACGCTTTAATATAGTTTAAGTTATGGTGGACAGTTGTTGAATTCGAAGAAAATGGTTGGTACAAGTCTACACACCGTATGACAAAAAAAAAAAAAGACAAATGGGAGAGAAAGATTAAAAGAAGCAAGAAATCAACAACGACCAAGATGAAATTTCATGTTTTTTGTCTGAAATTGGACCCAGATAGGACCCATGAATATTGAATATGCTAGACATGTTTCATTTCTAGAAGTTTTCTAAGGCTCAGACGTACGTCAATATTTCACAATATTTAGAAACAAAATTCAGTAATAATAAAATAGTGAACTAATTTAGAGCAAATTATTGAAAAATTTTGATGAGATTAATGTTAATTAATTGAAAAAAAAAAACTATTTATCGAGAATATCTTGAATAAGTTGTGCTCTTGTATCTCAATTTATACCTTAAAGGTAATTTTTTTTTTCAACGGTCAGAGGTGTTGTCAAGTTACGCGTATTTCGATTAATTTTCTCTCCGGTTCAATCAAAGACAGGTCATCCAAAATTCGAACTTAAAACTTCTGAATTTATAATTCGTCTCTATTACCACTTGAATTACATCGTTATGTTTCCTTATGGTGACTTTAACATGTGATTTATAATTGCTTTGCCAAATAACGCCCTGAACTTTAGAGCAATGCTATTGAGACCTAATTTATTAATATAATTTACTGACTTAATTCACTATGACATTTAGATTAACTGTAGGTCTCATAAAATATTGGACTTAGAGTTGATCCAATGATTCCTATAAAGTCATATTATTATGTTGACAAATTAGGTTAGATTTTTAGGTAAAAATAACATTATTCTTATTTAATTGTTGATTTATTATTAAATAGTGACATCACATGACAATGATAACGTGTTATCACCATAAAAAATGTGGATAAAGTTTTTCATTTTTTCGATGTGCAATGGTGGATCTTGCCTACACCCAGATAGAGGTAAGGGGAAAAAATAGATATATGATAAGAGTTTTATACAGAGCATAATCAAGAGTGAGTAACCAAGCAATTTATTCCATGTGAATCGAACCTGAAATATAATTCTCACGTGCTTCAAGCAATCCTCTCAATGGGGCGCTAAGTACCACTGGACCATGTAACTTCGTGGTAAAATTGATTTATGGTAGGCAAGACTCAACTTTAGTTTAACTGATACTTGGAGGTAAACAACTTATATCCAAAAGGTCCATTTCACAATACTTTTACGGTGTTAGTATTTTTTTCATTTTTTGTATTAGAGTCAAGGATGTTTAGGTCAATTTATACGTATTTCGATTAATCCTCTTTTCTGTCCGGTCAAAGACAACATTCACATCAAAAGTAAGAACTTTTTGAGAATAAACGAGGCTTGATAACATCCAAGACAAGTCATTTTAACTCAATTGGAGGCACTTGCCCCCACCCAAAAAGAAAAAGTTATCATGTGGCACCAAACAATTCTACGGCTGGCTTTAATACTTCATTTGGATTGACAAAGACGGAAGGTGAAGACATAACAATATCCCTCCCAGCTAAGAAATTGCAAACAAAAAGTGAAAAGAAAAACAGGTGAAAGCTCGAGCGAGCATAATTTCTTGTTAAGTGTAATTCGCAAAGATGCTTGGAGATCTTAGTAGTGCAGTCACTTTGCTTCCGCAGTCGCCGAGCCGAGGATCAGTCCGACTCCCTATAGGAGACAAGCTCTTGTCGCAGTTATTCTATAAAAATGAATCTTCGTCGAATCTCATAATGGGTTGGTTAGTTTCCCCATATCTCAAGTTGGAGGCCAGACGGGAAATGTTGTTCATACTTTTTTACAAAAATTACAAAGGATATTCAACCAAATAAACATATAAGAGCCACATAAAGAAAGAAAAAAATGGTAGTCAATGCACGAGCTCCCTCTCTGCAAATCCTTGAATGGTTAGATGTGTGCAATCTCGGTCTGCGTGGTGCAAAGAAATTGTTTCCTTAAATTGAATCCATGATATCTATATTATAGTAAACAACTTTACCATTATACGAACACCCGACGTAAGTAACATAGAGAGGATGAGGCAGAAAAAAAAGAGGGGGCGGAATTGGATTCACAAAGGTCTAGAGATCTCAGATGAATTCAAAAGTTCTTCCAAATAATCAGCACCCAAATCCTCAAACTCCACCACATTCTCTCTCTTCACTTCTCTCCCTTTTCCTGTTCTGCTCTTACTTTTCCTTCTCATGGAGTGCCTTTTCTTCAGAGCCAACACTGGGGAACACTCATTTTCAGCAATACACTTCATGTCATGGAGAGATTCACAAACTCTTTCAACTGGAAAATTCAGAATAGCACCCGGACCGCGAGTCGAAAAAGCAGCTTGATCATAAGCCAAAGCAGCAGCTTCTGCACTGTCAAATGTGCCCAACCATACCCTTATGCCATTCCTAGTTGAATCCCTTATTTCTGCTGCAAATTTGCCCCATGGCCGCCTTCTAACTCCTCTGTAGTATTTTTCTTTTTCGGGTTCTTCTTTCGAATTAGAAGTAACTTCATCTTCCTTCGTAATTCTGTGGGAGGAAATTGTTGTTTGGGATGTTTTTTGTGCAGCAGCTTCTGCTAGAACACCATAGAGAAGCATTTCTTCAGAGTCGTTTTCGTCGAAAGGGAGAGAATTGTTAGAGTTTAGACCATCCCATGAGAGAGAATCAGATGATCCGAAGGAAGAATCCGTTGAGAAATCGGAATCCAGGAAGGGGAAGAAAGAGGAATCCATGGGAAATGATGGTTGCTATGGTTTTGAATGTGTGTATGTGTGTAGTATAGACTACTCTGTTTCTAATAGTTCGTGTTGGGGTTACCTCCTTTAAATACCAAAGGGAGGATTTGAATGACCAACCAGTGGGGTGGGCTACTCAACCATTTTCATGTCGGAGGTTTGAGTCTTTAAGAGTTTATATTAGGATTCGGTAATTGACCACTATACTAACTCAATTAGGTTCATTTTCAAAATATATATAACTATAGTTAGAACCTCATAATCTCACCACCTATAAGGGTAGTCTCTGATTATTTTTCTTTACCTCTATTCCTTTTTTAATCACCACAAAAAAAAAAAAAAAAGATTTGAATGTGAAATAAAATAAAGAACGGACTCCGTCGCTTGGTGGATTGAAACACTCTAGATTTAGTCCAAGTTATAAAATTTGAAGGGGAATTGCATTTTCATCCTTCAAAGATTTCAAGATTCTCATTTTCTACTTTCAAAAATTAAATTTTTACATTATACTCTTAATTTATCAAAAGTATTATAATGTAACCTTTTTGTTAAATTTTTTGTCAGTGTCAATGAGATGATTTTTGACAAAAAAAATAACGGAAACTAACAGAAGATTCACATTGTAACATTTTTTTATACATTAACGGTGCAATATAAAAAATTTAATTTTTGAAGGTATGAAATAACAATCTTAAAAATTTTTAAGGTACAAAGTGCAAAAAGTCCAAATTTGAATTCAATCTAATTCCGATTTCATTTCAAAACATTTAATACTAGTATTATGAATGTTTGAAATTTTAAACTTGGGGGATTTTAATTATAGAAGTAATTTTCTTGGTCCCTACCAATGGGATAATTGGCATATGGGTCAATTGAAACCAGGCGGCGAGGTCATGGTCATACAAGCATTCGAGTGACTTCATTATATCTCAGCTTGGACATTTTTCATTTGGCATCCACTTGGCAGATGTGACTCTAATCATGAGCATTAGGGTACGTGTGTTACCGTTAAACAGGGATGTCAATTTTTGACTTAAAGACGAACCCGACTCGAACTTAATCTCATGCGAACCTGAAAATAACATGATTAGTTAACACGAATAATAAATAGGTCAAATTAAAGTTCGACACGAATAACATGATTAATGGGTACTGTAGATAAAAAATAATTATTTAATGAGTATTGTAGAAAAAAAATAAGAATTTTATAATTTTTTAAATAGTATTATATTAGTTGTTCTCAAATTAAATAATTTTTTATTAACACGAATATTGACACGAATCCGATACGTACTGAAAGTGATACGATACAAAAAAAATACAATCGAAAGTAATACGATACGAAACTGATATGACCCGACACGATTGACGCCCTACGGTTCAAGGTCCTCTGCAATTAATTTTTTAATGTAGAATTGTTGCTGATCAATACATTGTCGTTTTGGTGTAATACTATGTTGTTTTGATGAACAGTAGAAAAGTCGGACCCATAAAAGTTAATATTTTTAACGACCATGCGATGTTCATTATTTATCTTGTACATAATTTAAATTTCACATAAACGGTCTTGAGATTAAATAAATATTTCGTTGATGATTTATTTTTGATTAAATTGAAAAAAAAATTAATTAAAATATGCGTTAAACTGATATGGACAATTCTGACAATTGAAAAAAAAACGTATGACGAATATCAAGTTGCAATTAATCCATTCTTTTATTGTTGTACCGCACGTCTTAAAATCAACCCATGCCCGACAATTTGCCACCTCCCTTACTCAAATTGATGAAGTTCCTTTCTTTGCAGTGTAAAGGGCGTTTGATATGTCAAAACCAACGACCATTCGAACAAGTCCCTTGCTTTAGAAGTTTAACACATCATTGTGCAATTATGGATAGGGGAATGCTATATGAATTTAAAAAGTAAACTTAAAAATTAGATTTGATAATTTCAATAATTAAAGAGGTAGTGAGGCCCAATAAATACTGGAACCCACAGTGAAATCAATTGTTGATATTATCAAGTTTAGTTTTTAAGTTCATGTAGCATTGCTCATATGGATAATGTCTCCTAACATGGAGTAGTCGTGTCATGGATTTAGATTCCTCCAATGCTTTTTTCTCTACTTTTTATCTTGATAAATTACTTACTATATATTAGTGAAAGATCTGCTTATATACAATAGGCACGACATATCATTCATCATGTGTTAGTGAGAGATTAATTAATATAGCGAATGAGAATATATTATGGAGAGAAATGAAAAATATATACGCCAAGGACTTTAAATCCCTTCCTTAACGCAAAACTTAGAAACTTCTTTATGTTTATAAGCAAGGAAAAAATAATGTTCTTTCTCACAATTTTTGGTTGGAGTTTAAAGGATTGTGAAGTGATTAAAAAAATCCTCAAAAATGAATAGAAGGATCAAAATTTTGTTTTGGTATATTGTTTTAGTCACTTAAAAAACAAAAATATTTTGACATATTTTGAAAAAATTTCGACCCGTTTCAAAAACATAACAAAAAAAAATATAAAATACAAATTTTTTTTTTTCAAAATATTGATTGAAATATATCAAAATATCTTGAAACATTTCAAAACAATTGTGTAATTGCATTGAAATATAATATAATATATTAAAATATTAGAATTTTGATTCTGATTTGTTTAGATATCTTTGAAAACGAAAATATTTTGAAAATTTAAGCTATTTCAAAATAAAATTGTTATCCTCGAAGCAAGGCAAGGTTTTTTCATTTGGGTTGTCTTTAAACAGATAAGTATGGTAGACTTGTCATTCGAATTTAGTTACGTGTTTGCCTATCAATTTTGTTTACAATCTTCCCCTCATTTTGCATCTCTGTTTGGGATTCATGTGAACTCATGCCACAATAATGAAAAAAAAGCTGGCAAATTCACGTAATCCTGTTTCAATCAATAAAAACCTGTGCCACGACATGACCTTTTCATATGACTACAAACCTACAAAATAATAATAATAATAATGATTTGGGCATCTATTCAAATCTTTATCCTAAACAAACTGGTTCAAATTCCTACCACAAATGTCTAGATACAGGCCCCAATGGAGTCCATGAAATGTTTTAAAGTCATCAAAACTCAGTGACATGTTTGGACTTTGTGATATGTCTGGAGGAGATCAATAATCCATTCACTTCACTACTTCTCATATTTCTTCTTACTAATAAATCGTCGTCATAATTTCGACAGGTGTCTGTTACTCGTAAATAAGTCCATTATCACTTTGTACAGTATTGAACTATATTTTTGAAGGGGTAATAATTTTTTTTTTTTAATTATTGATAAAACTCATTGTATATAAGTAAGTCCATAACTAATATATGGTAAATAATAATCTATTTTGAATTCAATTGGGCAAATCCTATCCCAACACACCTTATCTGACCTAATTTTATTTTATTTTTTTCTAGTCTTTGGTAAATGATGAACATTTGAGAGAAAATATGTTAAAGCAAGTCTAAAAAAGACCGGATACAATAAATAGACAAAGACCCACACATTCACGCGTGATACCTTTGGCTTTCAAGATTTTCTATCTGGGAAAACCTGATTTAGGGATAGGTATTTTATTGGCCAGGTACAAACAAATTCCTCTCTTCTTCTTTTTTTTTTTTTTATGGGGAAAAAGAGGGGGGGTGGGGGGGTGTTGAATTTTTACAATTTACACCTTTCAAGTTTGGGTCGAGTATTAATTTGGTACTTGGAGTTTCAATCGCAACAATCGAGTCAAAAAAGTTTTAAATGTTCTAATAAGTCACTTCATCCCAATATGTCACTTAATCTAACAAAATAAGAGGATTAGCGGTTGATCGGATGGCCACTGCAATCTGTCGTTAGACTCGTTAGGTCATGGATTCAAAAATCAGTGTTCCCTTTCTTACAAAAGTTTGGAGTGACCCCAAAAAAGAAATCTAACAAAATAGAGTCACATGACCAATATTTCACATTCTAAAGGGGCATGTGTTGTCATGTTATAAATAAAACTTTGTTTAATGATAACACTAATGTTATTGAGACATAATTTAGAAACATAAATTGAAGATTTAATACATTATGATCATTGGATTGATAGTGGTGTGTATTCAATACTGCAACCCACTGACAATCTAATAACCATAATCATTAAATCTCTAAATTATGTCTCAATAGCATTGTTTGATCGGATAATTAGCCCGCCTATCTTATGACTTAACTCATCTTGGCAACTACTTAGGGTCAGGATATGAAGAATTTATCTCTCATGAATATTCTAATTCAAGCGTGGATGACTTGTTTTTAACCAGACTAAATAAGGAATTAGTTAAAGTGTATGTATGCTGACTCGAACACTTGCCTGTTGAACTAAAAAAAGAAAAAAAAGAAAAAGATGACAAACTAAAAAGAAGACCGAGAGCAACCAAGACACAAGATAAGGGTCAATAGCCACAGATTTAGATTGCATTGTTTGGCAATACAAACATTAATTTTTAAATAAGTTACATGTTGATCATATGACTCATTTTGTCATGTAAAGCTAACAGATTTGAATGTAATGACAAAATTGAAATTCAATTAAATTTTAAAGACTTGATTGTTCTAATAAGAAACCCATGGACCAAACTTAAACTTGGCCCAAACTTGAAGGATGCGAATTGTACAGGAGCGGAACCAAATTGTCGTTTATGGGTGGGCACCCTACCGAGGTAAATTTTTTTTCCAATTGATGAAAACAATATGATATATTATTTTTATTTGCATCATATTTGCTAATTAAAAATTCATTAGACACAAAAGGGGCAAAGATCGGTGTAGAAACCATTAAAAAAAAAACCAACAAAAATATACTTACTATGGCCCTTAACAAAAAAAAAAAGTTTAATTACAACCATTTTCAATTAATCACAATGATTTTTTAATTCTTCCCTATCAATACTATTGTAGACGTAATTTTGCACACTACACAATGACCTTGA